CAGCAGCTGCTGGCGAGCGTTGCGGCGAAGACCGCCTGATTTCATCGCATCCGAGAGGATCTCGCTCAGGCCCATGTCGTCGTCCTCGGCATCTTTGGTGAGGTCGCTCCACTCTTTGTCGGCCTCGGTGTCGCTGGGCGTGGGAGGGGCTTTGGTCGCCTGCAATGCCTCCACTGGGTTGGTCAGGATCGCGAAGAACTCTGCAATGGCATCCTTCTTGGCCTGGGTGAGGTCCATCATGTCCTGGTCGAACTTCTCCGTCGCCTCGTGGTATTTGGTGCGTTCCTTGACGAAGGCGGCACGGAGCTCCTGTCGATACTTGTCCCACTTGGCTGTAGCAGCAGCTTTGTCCGTGGCATTCTTCCGAAGCTTGCCCTCTGCCTTGCGGATGGCATTGATATTCTTCTGCACGAACTTCACCAAGTCCTCGGACTGGCTGGTCTTGCCACCAGCCGCTTTGGCCATCGTCCCAACAAGCGTGTGGAGGTCCTTGTCCGCAGCAGGGTCCTCCGCTTCCATCGCATCGTAGGCGGGGAAGTAGGTCTTGGGTGTCGGCTCCGAGGCATGCCGTCGCCTGGGTCGTCGCCAACCAGTAGACTGCTGCTCTTGCCATTCTTGCCACTGCTCGTTGGTCCATTGTGCTTTCTTGCCCATGTGGAGGAGAAAGCTAGCCTCACGGTAAGCCGGGAGCGAGTGATGCCGTTGAAGGCGCGCTATATCAGCGCGCGAAGGAAGAAGCCCAGCACCACGGGCTTTCCAGATCCGAGCTCTCGCTCTGGAGCGCTTGAGGCGCTGTTTTCGGTGCCAAGGCGGGGAAGACGGCATCCTGCCTATGGCTCGAGCGTGCTTTTTTGCACTGGGGCCCTGGCCATGCTTGCTACGGGCAAGCTTGCTCCAAAACCCTACATATATATATATATATATATACACATAGCATATACATATACATATACATATACATATACATATATATATATACTTATTTATTTATTTATATATACATACATACATACATGCACACACACACACACACACAGACACACGCACAAGATCCCGGCTCGAGGGCTGGTCGAAGCGTGATCAGTTTAGAAGCTGCCTGCACCGCTTAGGGGCACTACATATCATGATCGTCTTACGGTGGGTAAACAATCGAGCGATGCATACAATTATGTGATTACGCGGCTCTGGTTTACATGTGGTTCCGTTGCAGATGTACGTCTACTTTGCCCAGTACCGCGGGTATGTTTTTATCTTGACTGCAGCCTCCCGAGAATAACCCCATGTTCAGCACCTGCTTTTTCGAGTACAGGGCCAAAGCTTCAGGCACGTCGTGCCCGGCAGCTGCAACTTCTTTCCTTGGCTGGGCATTGCATCACATTTTCGGCCTCCTCGCGAGCTGCAATTATGCGCAACATGCATCTCAGCTGAGTCAGATGCTGCAGAATCTCCACCAAGACCACTGCATCCTTTCAGACATCTGCTGGCTGGGGCTTCTATAGAGCCTAGAGGCCTGGATAACATAGGCAGCAGCAGATCATTAGCCACACACACCCTCACAAGCGATTTTGGTATCAAAGTCGGCTGTGATGTCCGATAACTGTGTCATGAATCAAGCTGGCAGTCCTGCAGCGCCGAGTTGCAGCCCTGCCCGCTGGCACCCCCCGTAGAGTGGGCCGCATCACCCAACAGCACGGCCCCTCGGTCCAGGGCACCAAAAGTTCGAGACTACCAAGGAGCTGAGGAACTTAAGGCCGAGGGTCTCCCAAAGGAGTATGTATTGCACTTCACGGTGGAAGCCCGAGAAGCCTGAGGAGTGCGCACGGCAGACTGGCCCAACGAAGATGCAGGCCCCATCCCCGAATAAGCACATGCAAGCAGACACATTAACAGTAACACCTCACACTCATGGAGGCGCCTTTTGTGACACGAACTGCTTGGCGGATTCGTCATCCATCGCATCCTTTGCTGCGTAAGGCTCCATGCAATCATCTCAAGGAACGAGTATGCACCGACAAAGGGTCTAACCAACTCTCCTCATGCCGGATTGTAGCCAATGACGAAGCTGCAAACCCTGTGTTACAAAACCCGCTCTGAGGCGGGACACCGCGATAAGAGGAAAGGACGCCGCCAACACTTCTCGTGCCTGCAGCCAACCAACTCCTATAATGGTAAGGTTCTGCAGGCACAGGCACAGCTTGGCTTCATGGTGCTTCTTCTACACTCCCGTCGCCCTGCACAATGGCGTCATCATTCGTGCTATATAACATGCCATCCTATCACGGTGTCAATTACTTCTTGCTCGTTCTCACAGCCTGGCCTCGGCAGCATCTGCGAGGTCTCCGAGTCCCGGCTCCGTCTTCGCATCCTTCCCTGGTTCCCTCCAGTTGATGAGGGCGCAGCCTCCACCTTGTCATCCAGAATGGCTCAGCTTGCTTGCATATGACAACTTGATTGGACTTGCGTTGTGTAGGGTCCTGCCCGCAACATCTGCTCGATCTTCAAGGTATTTTCTGAGCAAACAAACACAAGAGTTCGAAGGCTTTGTGGTCCTAGTTGAACTTCCCAACTGCGGCCACGGAGAAAGCGTTCCTGTTCAGCAAGAGTCAACCTGGCTATACCTCCCCCGCACGATAGGTCGCACATTCCAAGGTCGTCGGATACTAGCAAAGGTCCAAATCAGTTCGGGACGATTTTAAAGGGTGGGCATGCACCTGGCAAGCCAATGCGGCCCTTGCTCCTGCGCAGATCCAATGATAACAAGCTCAAGCCGTGAGATCCTGTATTGGTACTGCCTTACTCGTGTAGTATATATGGCCCGCTCCATGGAAAGCCGCAGAAATCCTGCAGCCATGGCTGATGAGATCTGATGAGCCCCCAGCCTAGATCCCCAGCCAAGGGGCGAGCCGTAGGTTCCACGAATGCAGAAGTCCCGCCCTTGCCCGGTATGGCGTGGACGGCGGTCGGATCCAGTTTCTCAGGCATCCTGGGTCTTTAGACGACTTGGAATTTCCGCGGTTCGCCTCTGCAAATTGCAGACCAGGCTGCTGCGAGAATCGCAGAACCTTCAGGCTACCAGCCAACTGCGTCTGCTCGACCTGGCACGACTGTGTCCAGAGAACAGCAGCCACTGCGAAGCCCCACAATCAGCACGACGAGGCAAAACCACCCTCGCAGGACGAAAACGAACACATGCACGACGTGCACCACAAGTCGGAACCCAGGCAAAGTCCCAAGCTGGAGGCCTTGAAGCCGGCACACGCACCGGCGATGCTGGCTCGGACTGCCTCAGCACAAACACGCGCCTGGATGCGCTGGGCTCATGGCGTAACGGGCGTAAGCCAGGGTGCTGAATTCACACCGTCGCAGCCAGCAATGATGTCCACTGGGGCCAGCTCCTCCAACTTGTCACCCGACTGGAGCACTGCGGAACCTAGCCGCGCTCGACATGCCGCGGTTAAGCCGGAAGGGCAGGGCTCCAAGCGGCCACGACCGATGCCACGATTGCCACGCTGTACTTATCTATCCCGAGACCTCGCGCCTGCAACAGGATCCGCAGACTTCAAGCGAGTGTCGAAGGAAAGCTGCAGCCTCCCGGTTCCTCGGCAGTGCAGGTTCACAGCTTCAAAATAGACCCCCAGACTTGAATCGCTTCGGGACCGCTAGAGGCTTGGAGGAGCCCGGCCTTATCCCGCGAGGCACTCCACTTCAACGCACTGTGCTCAGCTGGCAGCAAAACTGCTCCAGTAAGCTCTCTTACAAGAAAAGCTGGCCTCAGAAGATTTGTTACAGAAGCCACGAAGACCGGTGGGTAAACCGAGTGGAGATACGACTGACTGATACGACTGGTTGCAACTGCAAGGCGGTTCTAGCTGTAGCCACTGGCGACGAAGCAGAAATGTTCAAGCGACACTTGCAGCAACCCGGCACAAGCTTTCTAAAACCGGCGATTAAAGTCAGCCCAGTCAGGCAAGGCACCTGAGAAAGAACGTTCCAAGTCATCCAGCATTGCAGAGCAAAGGTCAGACTGGTAGATCAGAAGGCTGGGCTCAAGCCCACTGTTGTCTTCTGGGGTACGAAGGTCGATGGCCTCGGGGCAGATCCCAGAGCTTGCAGAAGGCACGGACTGGCGCAAACCAAGTCTCTGACGAAGCTGGGAGAAAGGTGGAGCTTGAACCGCTCGCTGGCAAAGCCGTTCGGCTTGATGGAAGACCAGAGTTCCTCTCCAGCTGTCCTGACGGGGGCGCACTGAGGATGAGGCCAGAACCGAGGGGTCAACCACCAGAGTCACCAGAGCAGCTTCGGCTTTGTCCTTATGGCTGTGCGCCCCCGGATGCCCAAGCCCAGCGCATAGGCACGGCCCTGAAGCGACTTGTCTGTCCGCGGATCGCGTCGGCCTTCGACCAGACGCACCGATGCCCCGGCCGAGAGCAAGCGGTGTGCCAGCAGCAAGCCTCAGGGAGAAGGCACGCAGGCACTCACCCTGAACAGGCTTTCAATGAATTCAGGCTTTAGATTTCGGTTCGGCTGCTTCTTTTCCAGGTGTCCAGCCTGAGGGACCTGCCCCCGCGATCAGGACAGACAAGGCTAGGCCAGGTGCAGAAGAACTGCTGCGCCCCTCGGCCCCTAAAGGCCATGAGCTTGGCCTCCGTAGGCCTGCAGTTGCAGCATCTTTGGCTGCAGACGCTGGGCCGACAAATGCGGCAGCCAAGCCCAGACCTTGCAAAGGTCTCCACATGGACAGCAAGATACACTGACAACCAATCTGTGCATCGGGCCCAATGCACAAATCATCGCGGCAGCCATCGACCATGGCCGCCTCATGCTGCAGCAATCTGCGTACAACGGTCGCCGCCTAGGCTGCCCTGCAAGCCTGTGCCACCGTCGCCAGGCAGCTGCCATGGCGTGCAAAGGCTCAAGTTACAGTTCTGTGCCGAAAACTTTCGCCAAGAAAAGACTTGCATGATGGATCGTCCCACGGCCAATCTCAAGAAACCCCCTGCCTCTCGACCCAGGTCTCGCGCCATGTGTCCCGCCGTGTCAGCGGGAAAACGTCATCGGCCAGCCCCAGATCCTCCTTGCGCCATCCCCGTAGTGCCTATTTGGTGCCGAAACAGACCACGAAGTTCTGCAGCAAGAAAGGCACGTCCTGCTCGCCGCAGAAGTAATCCCTGAATTCGCAGAACACTCCAACTCCTTCGTGTGTCAAGTTCGGCAGGAACTTCGCGCCTGGGTGCTTTCAGCCTGTACCGCTTCAGCTAAGGCACGGTAGCCACTCTGCTTGAGTGTGCGGAGGAGGTTGTGCGAGTTATCCCCCTGATGGGACAGTCCCCTCATGTCCACGCGCTCTCTGAAGCGCGAGCTGTGCCACGGGCCAAGCCAGGCCTCAAGTTCGAGGCCCCCGAGCATGGGGTAGAGATTTTGGACCTTGTATCATCACTTGGGCATCAACACAGCAATTTCCATGTCGCTTTGTCACTCTATTATGTGTACGTGTGTATATGTATATATGTATATACACATATATTCTATACATGTCGTGTCCGGATCAGCTGGAAAAACGCGTGCAAATCCTTCGTCCTTGCGAACTGAAGCTGTATGCCACTGTATGCTGGAAAAGAAGACAATTCTAGGATGATCTTGCCAGTTTCACAACAGACTTCCTCACTTAGCTGATCCCTTGCCCGAGCGCTCATTGCCAGGACCGTGCTGACGAGTGGCCGTGCTGCCCCATTGGATGCTGTGAAACCAACCTCTGCTGGCCAGCTAACATAGAAGCGTAAATAATTAGGGTTCCGTATTATAACTATACTAGTATATAACTATACTCCACAAAAAGGAACCCAAAACCCTTTGATCCGATTTGCGTGCCAAGTCTCCTGCTGCACCGCCGACGTAGCCAGGGCCGGCGCGACGCAAAGCTTGCAAAGTTAACGGTAAGAGCTCCTCAAGTATCTAAGAATCTATGCCACGACCCACAGTACGACGCAGAACTACTGGGCGCATGTCGAATCCAGACGACAGATGCATAGACAAGACATGAACCGCCGCTGACCTACTTGGCCTGCAAACGAACCATGCTTCTCCTCCAATGTGTGGATTGACCTCGGCTGCAAGCGTGAGGTCGTGAGGCATTCATTCAGGATTACTACAGGGTGTCTGCCTGACCAGCACCTGCCTGTGCCTTGCAGGGCTGTGTGCTTCCTCATTTTCACGCCGTCCACCGTAGGATGCAAACCGACAGAAGTCTGGTGCGGGACAGCCATGTACCGCCATCCTGTTGCCGCGGGATTGCATCTTTGAGCTTCGCTTTGCTAAAGCAGTCCGCCAATTTGGAGCCGTCCGCGCAGCAGCCGTCCGCGCAGTCGGAGCATCGGAGCTGTGATTCGAGGATTCCAGCCTCCTCGGCTCGTGCCGTCTCAGAGGCACGGAGCTCAGGTCTCGTTCTTCCTGGCGTAGACGTGATACCGGAACTCTTGACTTGAACCAGGTAAAGCTCCAGCATGTGGACAAATCCTCAGAACGGAACGCTACGAAGGGAAGAGGCCTTGCGTGCCAGCCAGGACATACGACAGTGTGACAAGCCCTGGTTGTCTTGAATCCAGGAGGCGGTATGGGCAGATTGCTTGTGGTGCCAGATATGAACACCTAAGGCCGTGAATTGATCATGTTCTGAACTACTCGCAGCAAAGCAGCGTCGAAGTCACAGAGTGTTACCGACTTGCCGCAACCCCGAACTCGCTGGGACTCACTGAGACTTGACTTGTCGTCTACAGAACTGTCTGTAAGAACGGCTTGACCACGAATGGAGCTCTTCTAGCTAGTGAGACGACTATGGATACAATGGCAGTTTGTTGTGACCACAATGGCTGGCATGAAGAAAAGTCTAACTATTCTGAACCTGATATGAGGGCGAGTGTTCTTTCCAGGATGATGGCTAACACTCTGTCCTGCATCCTAGCTGTTGCTGATTCATTCTAGATTCTAGATTCCACTCCATGTACTCTCATTCCTCCAGGTAGCATTCAGGAGGCGTTCTGATACGCCCTGCTACCACTCCTGCACGTGACCTGTCATGTCGTGAACCGTGAAGATTATATGAAGTACACTCGCAGCGCCCGACCGTTGGACCGTTGCTACCATTCCATGTGGGCCTGTGAGCCTTTGAAGTATTGAATCAAGAAGCAGCCAAAGACTGCTCCGGCGTGAACGCCAAATCTCCGGCCACAGCCTTGGGCGGCACGCAAACAATACGCAGCACAGGCAAGGTCAGGGACATGAAAACTGCGGAAAACTCTCTCTGTGTTTGTCTGAATAGCCGAAATAGCCAGCCTTCTCCCTGTCTTGCATGTACAATCATGTACACATAAAACACAAGGTGGGATGGGGCAAGCAACTCAATAAGGCAGCAAAAGCCCCCATGCGTTGGCCCAGTAAGGTGCCCGGCACGCACCTAGCTGCTATCTAGCTGCAGCACTGCAGAGGGGGCGGGGTCTGCGCCCGGCCTCTATGAACAGAGCCTGCTGCCGCTGACAGGCAACTTCTGACTGCATATGCCCAGCAGGGCCTAGTAACCTGGCAGTCACAACTTACAAGGTGTGCCGTACCGCGCACGTGGGGATTTCTTGCCAGCTGCCGACGCAACAACAACACCACTTCGTCCTAGAACGTTGGATAGCTCTAGATCCGAAAGGACTATTTCACTCATGCACTCGCTCTCTCACTCAGTCGTCTCTCCATCTCCCACTTCCGTCCACGGACCATGACCACAGCCGGAGCACCACAAAAGCGAACCGAGTTCATAACTAGAGAGTATCCTTATAGCAGCCTGGGCTCAAGCTTCTCGGTACCTCCGCACTGCACCCCACACAGAAATTCACAGAAGTTCTCGCAATGATCTTCCCTAGCTCTAGTCACCTAGTTCCCAGGCCTTCCGGCGACAGGCAGTAATTTACCGTTGGCTGCGACCGCGGGATTCGAGGGCCGGGTCCTTGGTCGCTGCCATGCCCTCATGCCCTGGCTACGCCGCTACGCCCTCCCTGCTCCGCCCTGTCATCGCTGCCCTGCAGTCACGCAGCCGTAAACTTTCAACTTCTCTGCGTGCGCGACGTCACGGAAGGCGCGTCCTCGTCCGAGCGCGAGGCGCTTGGAGCCGACGTCGCAAGCCGGGCATGGGAACCACACCTACGGAAGGGCTGGATGCCCAAAGCGCACGTGTGCGAGTGGACAGACGGGCCAACGCTACTCAGACCTGCGAAAACAACTTGCTGTGTCGATGTGTCAAGACACATTAACCAGCAAGTGCTTCGCCTCGTCAACGCTTTTTCCAGGAACCTGACGGGGACTTCGTGCAGCAAGTAAGCAAGCAGTAGCCGAGACACTTTCAAGACAGTTTTTCTGAAGCTCACGTGAACAGCCCGACCTCGTCCAAATGAAACGTTGAGATTCGGGAATTGCTGCGCTTTACATGGTTGTCAGGGAGCGGGATGATGAGCTTGGTGCCAGGTGGGAACACCAGATCCAACATCGCCTGAAAGCCATCCTAAGCTTGCAGAACATGCTCCAATACACCAGCACAGCACGATATCACACCAATAATTTCCATCATCAGTGATCATCAATTCGAGGTGCACTGCCTTGCTCGGCGAAGCGCTTCACAGTTTCCAATCGAAGTACAATCAAGCCATCATGCGTCAGCAGCTCGTGTGCAAGTCTGCAGAACCTCACAGAACTCCAACGGAAATTAGTCACCTTTTGCATGTGAACCTGTTTGTATGTTCGAGGCTTACGTTGTCTTATCAAGGCGGGTCATTAGACAGAAAGATGTAGCCAAGAGACTCGGGATTCGAGAATGATGCATCCATACTGGCACTGGCTGCAATGGACTCCAGGGTCGTCCAGTCCTGTCTCCAGTGCAGTAAAGTTTCATGCGAAAGGCAAGTCGACGAAGTGGAAGTAATCCTCTTTCAATTTTAATTTTTGTGACATGCTGAGAACTGTGCCTGGAATGTATGCTCACGTTTGAAGCTTCCGGTCTTCAACGTCTCGTAGTCGAAAACCTCCGAAGCTGTCGATACGCCCGACTTGACCTCCAGAACAGCGGTGCGAGTTAGATGAAGGGCGCCTCATCATGAACTGCCAATGCACCTGATTCCGGGTCAAACCCCGGTCTGGCGCTAACAGACGTTGGATATCCTTGCGGGATCAATGTGGTAAGACAGGCATCCTAACACGCATTATTGGTACCAAGGTTCTTGCAATGCTGGCAAGTGTCGCCATCTGTCTTGGACATAACATCCTGCAACTCTCGCCGTCGCCGCAGGGATTGAAAGGCAAGCAGACCTGCCTGGAATGCAATGCGTACGGTCATACATACAGGTTGAGGATTCCTCCAGTCACTGGCATTGTCCCGAGATCTATGCGAGCAATGGGGATTGATCCAGGGCACGATTGCCACCACCAAAGCTGCCACTAGGCTTGCCTGCTCCTGTTCGGGATCCTTATGCAGACAGTGCAGAGGAAAACACGACGGCCATGCAAGGCTCACGACATGAACTATAAAGGGCCAGGCAGTGTTCTGGAGGCCGGATAGAACGGCAACCTCACACTGGTGCACGGCTTCGTAGAGTCTCAATCGGTTCATTACCTGCACTCACAAATGCAGACGTGAAGCATCCTGATGGACAGCAGATAGCCTGGGTAGGTTTCTGGATGGTACCCTTCCGAGCTTTGCGTACCGCCTCCGAGACCTGACCAAGCCATCACAACAAGCAGAGCAGATACGTTGCATGATGCCTCAACGCGAGGATCCAGCCTGTTCAGACCGCAACGCCGGTCCTGCAGGTTCTGCAACATGCTGACCCGGTGTCTATGGAGTCTAGGGTGTGGCCGCATGGCCTACTCGAAAAAGTCGACAATGCACAAAGTGATCGAAGAGGAGAGCATGCCCAAGCTTTTCATTTGCAGGAAGTCTGGCTCCGGACGCCACACGCATGCTGTGAGACATTCGTGGTGAGACAGACGGATCGTCATCATGTTACGACGTGTCAAGGTGAGACGACCAACAACGAGAATATTCAAGCGGGCGTTCCTCCAAGAGGCAGACAGTCCCGAAGCCTAGAACCGATCGGTCTTGTCCAGCAGATTGGCATGGTGGCGTTGCAGCGCTGCCTGCTCACCGGCCTTCATGTCCTCCTAAGGCCACGGACGAGAGCCAACTCTTGCACCCGACATCCCTGCTCTGCCGACAGCCAAGTCACTGCCCCGATTCCTTCGGACCAGGTCTTGCGAGCCTTCTGAAAAACCGACGAGAAGCCAGCAAACCACTGCTTCAACATGCTTCAACAACACGCGGTTACACCTGAGCTCCGGGCTGCAGCCTCAGTCAAAATGCGTCGGCATCCGCCGGTTGCCATCAGGCTCTGCTTCGTGCGACCATCACCCATGAAGACACCGTTGACACCTGCCCGCGCAACACCAGCAGAGCCCTGTAACATCCAAGCAAAAGATGAATAAACAGCAATCTCCCGACACTAGACATGTGCAGCCACCGAGTAGTCAGGGCTTACGGCGAGCAACGGATGCGCATTGAGAAGGTTGAGATGCGGGATTTAAGGGACTCTTGGTCTCCGCAGCTTTCTGGCACACCTCCAGGGCCGTAGCTCTTGGCGAGGTCCACCCAGGGTTTGACGCGGGGAGCCCCAAGCGGCTTGCCTGACAGTACTTTGCAGTGCAAATATGCGTGTGAAGCCATGCCGCCGAGCTTTTCGACCAGATCCGAGACTCCACTAACACTACTCGCTACTCGAAACGAACTCCGTCCCGTTCTGTGTCGAGCTACTGAGGTCCTTTGCTGCATCCACCTGGTGCATGGGCTTGTATGACTTTGGAACCGTGGCTCCCTTGGCACGCGCTTCCGTCATGTCCACGAAGGATTGGTCAATGGCCTTGGGCAGTTCTAAGATTCAGCCAACGCCGCATGTCTACTTCAGACGAAGCCCAAAAAGTGAGACTGAAGAGGTGCGCATCTTGCATGGCAGAGGTGCCATGGAGCAGCCCGGTGTGATTCGCGGCCGAGGCCAGTCTGCTTCCGCCTTGTCGCGCTG